TCCATTGTATCATTTAAAGTTTGTGTTTCCTTGCTATTTTTCCAACATAGCACTTTAAAGGAAGCTCACAGATTTATCAGACGTTCAACTGAAGCCAACAGCAAATGACTCCAAGACTAGAGGAAACACTGGCTCTGCTGGATTTCTTGAGAGATGGTATGTCATTCTCCAGACTGGTTCCTGCTGAAGGGATTTTCAAGGAATGCTGACTGTCATCTAGTTATGATTTTTTTCATCTAATCATGCTTTATGCACCGACTTTAGAACCCAAATGCTGAATAAGGTTTGATTCCTTTAAATTCATGTTGCCTAGAATTTTCTGGTATGCTTCAACAGTGGCTCGGCTGGTAAAGTATCCGCCTGCAATTTGGGAGACTTGGGTTTGATCCCTGGGTTGGGAAGATCCCCTGGAGAAGGGAAAGGCTACCCACTTCAGTATTCTGGTCTAGAGAATTCCATGGACTGTATAGTCCATGGGGTTGCAAAGAGTTGGACATGACTGAGTGACTTTCACTTTTGCTTTCAACATACCACTTTTTCCAAACAATTCTCCCTTTATTCCCTAATCTGTGCTGAATTTCTAGTTTCTTAAAATTTCCATAACATTTCCCTCCATCTCCCTGATGTATCTTCACTGACAGGAATTTGTGTACATATCAGACTCCCTTGTGGCTCAGCTGGTAAAGAATCTGGTCACAATGCAGGAGACCTGGGTTTGATCCCTGCGTTGGGAAGATCCCCTGGAGAAGGGAAAGGCTACCCACTCCAGTATTCTGGCCTGTAGAATTCCATGGACTGTAAAGTCCATGGGGTAGCAAAGAGTCAGGCAAGACTGTGTGAGTTTCACTTTCACTTTCACTTTTCAGGCTCCCTTACAGGAGCTCCTTAGGATTGGAATCTACATATCTTTGAATCCTTTGATAGAGATGGATGAATAGATGTATGTATGATGGATGGATAGACTGATGAATTTATAGATCCAGAGAAAAAATCAAATGGGAACTAATAGCCAAAGCAAAGAGAACCTGTTTACACTAAGGTGAAGCTTGATACACAAATTGGGACTCAGACGGGCAAGTGACTTCATACCCTAGCATATAGCTGTTTTTCTTTCTTAGCTGATTTAAAATAAGGCCAGGCATTTGACATCCCTTTAAATTACTGGTGCTTGGATATGTCTCTATTATAACAGGTTCTCAAAGAACTCTTCCCTGCACCTCCCAGTCTAAATGAGTCCCCATCTCCTCTCTTGTATGCTGTCATAGCATCCTCTTTTTTTTTTTTCTTCATAGCAATTGTCATAGTTTGAAACTGCATTTGTATTTTTTGACTTTTTGTCTAAAATCTTTTATACCCTACTGGATGACATTACACTCAAGAAAGGTAGGATTCATGTCTGTTTTCCTAACCCTAGTGATTTAGTGTCTAGCTCAATGCCTAATATATACTACTACGGTTAACAATGTTTGCTATTGATTGACTGTGTATTATGTGTCAGATACTGTTCAAAAGTGCTTCACACAAATCATCTCCTTTCATCTTCACAGCAACTCTATGAGCAGAAACTATTGCTACTCCCATCTTATAGATGAGGAAACTAAGATACAGCAAAGCTAACCTCCCCAAAGTCTCATAGCTAGGAAGTGGCAGAGTTGAGATTTAAACCCAGTCATGCTGGTCCCAAAGTCAGAACCAGTCACTAAATATTTATTGGGTAAATGAATGAACCATGATAAATATTCCTATATATGGTGAGACTTTGAGATAGAACTGGGAGGATATTTTTTACATCTTCTGGGCTGACCCTGTGGAAATGTCTCCTACAGCAACTCTGAGAATTAGTTCTCCAGATCCTTCTGAAATGCTTCTGGTACTGGGGACTCACTAACTTTTCCAGTGGAGCAACTCTAACTATTGGGATGTTCTTCCTTACACAAAGCTGAAATTCACTTCTGTGGAACTTCTACCTGTGGATATTTGTTATGCCCTAAGTAATTTAAAAGAATTTTAGTCCCTCCCACATAGCTCTGATAGGAATTTTCAATTAGATGACAGCTTCTGAACCAGAAATAGCTCCAGCTTCTCCCCAAACCATAGGGTATTCAGTACTGGTATCTCTATTAAACTGTGGTGTCCATGTCTGGATACAAGGCTTTCAATGCATGCCAAGTGCAGGGTGGGATTATTCATCTTTTGTATTCCTGGGGATTGGTGTGCTGCTTGTTGAACTGAAATTGGGTGATTTCATAGCAGTAATAAAAATCTCTTCATTTTATAGTTGAAAAATTACAAAACAGTTTTACATGTTCAATTTCAGTTGATTTTCTCTGCAATGTGATACTTGATTTCTGCTATATTTTGAATCAAAGGTTTAAGGATATTAGTGCTACAAAGAGTGTGAGAGGTACTCTGAGGTCAAAAGAGAATGAGTGGCTTACCTAGTGTCAAGCTAGTAGTAAAATTAAGATTCCTTTTAAAATTATACTTTTTGGAAGCTTTGTCCTTCTTACCATGATCTTTTATAAACCTGGTGTATTTCCCCTCCTCTGGTTCTTTTCAACATGTTAANCTTACCTAGTGTCAAGCTAGTAGTAAAATTAAGATTTCTTTTAAAATTATACTTTTTGGAAGCTTTGTCCTTCTTACCATGATCTTTTATAAACCTGGTGTATTTCCCCTCCTCTGGTTCTTTTCAACATGTTAATTGTGGTCAAAATTGTATTGACCATGAACCTCCTTTAACTAGAGCTGTGGGAACTGATAATTAGAGGAATTTGGCATAGGGATGTTGTGCTCACACAGTTGAGACATCTACTGAATATTAGTCTAAATGTTTCCTCAGGCAATGTAATGTCTAGGCTTATACTTCTGTGTCACCCACAGACTGCATCAGCATCAGGTAGAATTTCAGCCATAAAACTTTGAAGAGTTCTACCAACC